AGTTTTTTGAAAAGGAAAAAAAAATTGCCTGGATAGTATCAAAAAATCTATATTATCCATACAATTAGCAAGTTTAAAAAATGCAGATTTTTTTGCAAAATATTTAAATTTTGTGAAAAAGCTACTCTAAAATCTTTGTCATGTTTTAATGACGTGCAATTTGCAAAAAAATTCTGCAAAAAGGAGAAAGAAAGAAAACGTAATACGCTTCTTCCTTTTCTCAAAACTTAGAGAGATGTAATAATAAAAGTTTTAATTCTCACTTACTTGTGGCCCGTCCGAGCAATTATTGTTTCTCGTGGTTCCGACTGCGATATAATTTTTTAATCGTGTAACTTTTTAATTCCTATTTACTTACGGAACTGCGATTTAACGTAATTATCGCGTTTCATTATTCCGCCCTGTGTTTCTTGCCTTTCACCCTCCTAACTCAAGTTTTCGTAGTAACTAAAATATGATGAACGTAGATGCGCAAAACCGCAATTTATCGTACTTTCGCGGAATTTTCTTAATCCTAGCAATAAATTTTATGCAACTCGGAGTGACAAAATTTATATAACTTGTTTACGCAAGAAATTTTCAATGCCTAAGTTTTGCGTTCATCAAAGTAATTTCATAAACTGGAAACAATTTTATTCAAAAGTAATGCTTGATATATCAATAAATTTTTAATATATACAGATTAATTATATTTTTTTATCGACAAAGTACGCTAATACAATTTATATTTTTCTTTTTGTTTTACTTTTTTCTTATATCCCAACTAAGAATTTTAATAAGAGAAAATAACCGAACGTGCAAATAAAACAGAATAACGTGCAAATAAAACAGAATTCTATTTTTCCGTAGATTGTCGACAGAGTGTGTACTAATCGATATCGTCGCGTAGCTCATTCTTATTCAGCGAAACGGTCAGGAAAAGCTTTTATTCCGTCGGAGTTCGTGATGGTACTGCGCAATTAAGCGATTCTCCTTCAAAGAGTGGCTATGAGCTGCGATGAAAAGAACGGGAAGAATCTCATAAAGGGATATGATCTTGTAAATTTCCATCTAGCTTCAGCTAACCCTCGTACAAAATTCTGTATATGAGAAAGAGAGAGAGAGAGAGAGAGAGAGAGAGAGAGAGAGTGTGTGTGTGTGTGTGTGTGTGTGTGTGTGTGTGTC